AAAACACGAGGAGTAAGCCGAGAAGGTGCTTGGAAGTCAGATTGAGCAATTGGGTCTAAAATGGAATTGCATGGTCGTTAGTGGAACCGAGGATAGGAGAAGCTTTGTTCAACGAATAATGCTGAAAGAGATAGAGAACGGTGTCATTGTCACACGAGAAGCGATAGATGCGGCGATGCGGCGATACGACAAAGCAACGCGTTCCCATCGGGGATAAGATGCGCAGCAGGGAGGCCGAGATGAAGACATAAAGAGAGAAGCGACATTGACCAGCAAGGCAAACCGCGCGAAAGGGTGGAAAGAAAGTTGTCCGTCACCACACATACCTAGCTGAATCGCCCCTCATATTAGACGCTGATACCCCTCCAGTTAATCCTCTTCTCCCCTGCAACTATAATGGTCGGGGACCCGATCCACACTGCTGCACTTGAGGGAAACCCGTGGTGGCCGCTGAGGAAAATCCACGCTCGCCTAAGACCGTTGGTTTGTGTGTGTCTGAGCGGTGCTGAAGAGGGCGGTGGGTGGGTGTACCAAGGGGAACCCGGGCGAGCGAACAAGAACTGAAACCAACGACGAGGACGGTTCGAAGATTGGCAAAGAGAAGTCGGGGAAGAAACAAAGACTAGCTCGTCCGATGAGTAATTTCGAAGACGCTGTGTTTTGAGGTAGATCAAAGAGACACAAGAAGTGAATGATTCCCGCACGGTGCTGTAGGTGCTCGGACTCGAGTGTCGCAGCGACGACACATTCCTTGACAGAGCGTTATGCAAGCGCGGCTGTGTGTCAGGCTAAGAAGCCTCCGTTTTTTAAGGGGGGGGGATAATCAGCAGTGGAGATGGCGTTGCAAGGCTCCAAAATAGTTACTGCGTGGCTTCAGAGTGCTTATGGATTTATGGAAAGCCTATCTGGTTAGTGCACAGACGGACGCTTTGGGGCCGGTCAAAGGAAGACGAATAGTAGTCGGCCCGTCGTAGTGATAAAACAAAATAATAAATAATAGAAAAAAAAAGAATTTAAGACACGGAATAAGAAGACGGTATAAAAATACTAAAGAGAAAACCAGGTAAGGCTGGGCTAATGTGCTTTTGTCGCTCGAGCTTTTACTGTCAGAACTTGTTCCTGGCTAATGGGATGGGATGGCAATAAAACCAAGCCTTAGCAGATTAGATCTTAACCAAAGAACGAGTGTCAGTTAAGCCAGGAACTGGAAAAGAGCTGGTGGTCCGAAAATTTGGGAGGGAGAGATTGATTATGGAAAAGGAAAAGGACTCGTGGCTGGGGGAGGGGAGGGTGGAAACGGGAGGATGACGTTGGTCCACCACGTACTGATTGTTCCAATTTCTACTCCTACAACCATAATCGATTGCCATTCTTTTCTTTTCTCCATTTTTGACTGGAAAAGGATGGGTACTGTACTGTGCACGTATACTAGTACTAGCATGGTGAACATAACAACAAGAACAACAAGAACAATAATAGTTCTTGTTGGTAATTGCCGGATAAAGCATTGCCGATTTCTTCACCCCGGAACAAGTCGATCAAACGTTTTCTCTTAGGTGCACGGTCTATCGGTCTGATAGTATTGGAATTGAACAATGTGTGTGCGCGTGCATCAACAGTATAGGGGAAGTAGTACTCCGTTACCTACACCGTTGTACGGGGCTACAGCCTCCATCCAACCGAATGGGGACTGAATTTCACACCGAAAGATCGGGGCGGGAACGGTGAGTGGCTGCCATGATCGGGACTGGAAGGTACTAGTTTGGTCCACGGTGCCTTGGACCAGCGGGATGATGCAGAGACTCCCCATTAAACCTAACCAACCACCAGCTGCTGCTTAACAGGGTTTCCACTGACCCGGGGGGCAAATCAAATACACCCCCGGCCTCGTCGACGACTTTGTTCACCTCGGAAAGTCCCAGATGAAAAAAAAAGAGAGAGAGAGAAAAGCAAAGAAAAACTTAAGCCTGGAGCCTGGAGCCTGGAGCATGTTCCTGAAAACGCATGGCCTTCCCTCCTAAGAAGCACTCTATATCTTTGACGAGCGCAGTGCACACTATAATATTCTACTTACATTTAGAATCATAGCACCTACCGTACGGAACTGTCCGACCTAGCTAGGTGAAAATTTCCAAATATACTTCTCAGTCCTGATGCTGCATGATCCACTTCATTGTATACCATTGCTCATCTAAGGTTGTTCAACTGGTCTCTGCGTTTGCTCAGGGAACCCTATGGCCATCCCACTACAACTATTTGTCTCAATAATTTCTCTTCTATTCTTTGTTCTAAGAACTCGTTACCATGGTTCAAGTCATACACTATGATACAACTGGTGGGGTGTTGGGAAATCAGCGATACATAGAGAAGGCATGCAACCAGCAAGCGAACCATGGGAGAAACGGTCCTATCCTGCCCCGCTTGTTGCAGGTACCAAGTCACTACCCAGTACCCATTATGCATCCCATTCAATCGCAACAAGGAAGAAACATAGTTTCCAGGACAGTTACTGGAAATAAAACGCTTCTTGAGGATGGATTGCAAGCTCTCAATTTACTGTGATCATTTTTGCGCTAAGCATTGATTACTCTGACATTAGCACTCCACAGAACCACCTACACGTAAGTGGGGATGCGTGATCTCGCTTGTGTGTTGCGGATGCCCTCACCATTTGCAAATAAGTACAAGACTCAGTCTGTCCCTACACCAAGTGTCTACATCCTGTACAGTACGATACACGTGGGAGCCGCCTGCGGCTGTGCACCCATGCGAAGATAGTACATGAGTACGAGTAAGAAGGACCACTACGGTGTAGTATAGATGAGTGTATCCGTACTTCTACCTTGTCTAGGTTACCGAGCAATTGGAGAATTCACTAGATACTACACGAGTAGAATATTCCGTAGGTCAACCCCACTTAGACCATACAGCACCTCTTGATCAATGGCTGCAAATAACTATTTGTCATACTAATCAGAGCGGCAAGGCAGCACCATCAAGGCATATATACCGCAACCGATGTACTAGAGTACAGGAGATACACTTATACGCAGGTACTTTGAGAGGTACAAAATGTATGTATGTATGTATGTATGTATGTATGTATGTCAATCAACTATAACACTTCCCAGCGAGTTGTAGTTAATGCAGGTGACGGAGGATAGCAGTTAAGTGGTTGCTCTAATGCTTGTCTTTGCATACGCATGAAGAGATCAAGGAGACAGAGTAGTAATGCAGGCGAGAGCCACTGGGAGGAGCAGGGACCCAGGGGCAACTGCCATTTGGCTCTCAGGGGTTTCACACGGTCACACACCGCTGTCCACGGTCCATGACGATCCCGCCTTAGACTAGTACCTTTAGTAGACGCCGGGCTGAAACATCAGCCCCGCCATCTTACTAAGGATGCTCCAACGGCTGCTTTCAGTGGGCATCATCCCACGTGACACAAAGCCCTCTCGGTTTCCGACTTCCGGCACACATCCCTGCCAAAGGTTTTTCCTTTGTCAAGTCTCCGGCAAGTTCACTTGTGTGCATCGAGGATCGAGTGCACTGGAATCTTGTCTTCCTGTGTTCTCTTATCCTCAAGCCACCAGACGTCCAGGTGGCATCTCAAGTTGTCCCTTACAACTGTTTCATTTGATCTCCGCTGTGGCGGGCATTATAGTTACGACGTCAAGTCCTGTTCACATCCCGGAAAAGCTTTTCTTGCCCCTCAGTCGATTTGATCGAGGGTCTTGCAATTAAGCTGATCTCATATACTAACTCTTACTTCAACTCTAGAAGGGTGTCTTTGCCAGGCCCCGGTTGCTGTATCTCCCGTTTCTCACACATGTCCTTGGTTTCAGATCCGGGGAAGGCCGTTGGCCATCTGCTCAACCAGCAACTTTGCGTTCAGAAACACGTGGAATACGTCAAAAAACTGGATAGCGTGCGTTGCTCTTATTCCAACCATAGCTCCCCATACGGTAGGGAAGGCGGTTGACAGATGATGCTAGAGGAGGGACGAGCTGGAATATTGGCTCACGGAGCACCTTCGCCTCAATGGGGTTTATTGGGGGTTGACAGCTCTGCATCTCATGGGATCTCCAGAGGCATTGCCTCGTCAAGAGACCATCGATTTCGTCCTCTCATGCCAACGAGAGAATGGGGGATTTGGAGCTGCTCCAGGCCATGATGCACACATGCTGTACACAGTGTCAGCCGTGCAGCTTCTCGTCACACTAGATGCCGTGGACGAATTAGAGAAGCGTGGCCTAGGAGGCAAGGAGAAAATTGGCTCTTGTACGATATGACTTCACCTGGGTCTTCATCTACAAAGCTTTACTAAACATGCGCAGTCATTGCAGGATTACAGGATCAGGAATCTGGTGCATTCCAGGGAGATGAGTGGGGCGAACAAGACACCCGTTTTCTGTACGGTGCATTCAATGCCTTGTCGCTTCTGGGACTTCTTCACTTGGTTGACGTCTCCAAAGCGGTGGAGTACGTCAAAAAGTGTGAAAACCTGGACGGTGGCTATGGTATACGACCAGGAACCGAGACCCATGCTGGCCAAGTTTTTACTTGTGTTGGCGCTCTAGCGATTGCCGGGCGGTTAGACTTGGTGAACAGGGACCGCCTGGGCGGCTGGCTGAGCGAGAGACAGGTGGATAATGGAGGTCTTAATGGGCGTCCTGAAAAGCTGCCAGATGCTTGCTATAGCTGGTGGGTTGGTGCTAGTTTGGCAATGATAGACAGACTGCATTGGATCGACGGCAGCAAGCTTGCTGCTTTCATTTTGCGCTGCCAGGTAATATCCCCTTCTATGTCTCGCTGGGTATTGACTAATCCGCCATAGGACTTGGATGCTGGAGGTATTGGTGATAGACCCGGTAGTATGGTCGATGTCTTCCATACTTGTTTCGGTGTCGCCGGCCTGAGCCTTCTTAAATTCGATGGTCTGCAGGAAGTAGATCCAGTCTAGTAAGTGACTCATTGAGACAAGTCCCTTTTTTAAAGGGACACCATGCTGACGAGTTGACTAGTTGTATGCCGAAGAGTATAACGACGAGATGCCTCGCCCCGTAATCAGCTCTCCTTGTTTGTGACGTTGTGGCTTCATCCATCGATACCTTTCGTAGTACTACCTCCTGCCATCTAATAACCCATTTTTTCTTTTCTCAATGGATAATGGGATACAAGGCAGGAGAAGAAAGACAGGCACTGCGACTTATTTCCGCTTCACCCCTCTACAATGGCCTGTTAAGCGGCCGTTAAGACGCAGTGGCACATATGTATCCGAATTACGGAGTACAAGTAGTAGATTTATATTGATAGTCAATATGTTAGGATGTGCCATTTTATGCATTACGATATCCTTGCGTCAACAATATGCCTCATTCCGGTCACGGAGGTGTCAGTCTATGTCCCTAGTAAACCCTCCCAACAGCTAGAGCGGCCTTCCAAGGCGACTGACAACCTTACTACTAACCACCCTCTATGGTCCGTGGCGGTTAGTTCCTTCTTCAATTGTCGTCGGCTAAGATGACAACAACAATAACAATGGTAGGTAGGCACGAGTGTCATCGCAGGGAAGGAAGGTCCTCAGGTGTGCCTGTGCTATCTGCCGTCCTCACGTCAGTGGTCTTGACCTTCCCACGCTATTCTGTCAGGTCCAGTCTTTCTATATTGGTCTCTATTCTAGCACATTGATCGCTTCCTATCCATGCAAGCACCACTTTGGATTTAACCCTTTGTTGCTTCCCTTGATAGCTTTGTTCAAGTTCGAATTCTTATCCTTCCAGATCCCTTAACCATGGATGCAGCTGCACTTTTATGCAACATCTGCCCCAAACGTCCCACGTTCAGCGATGTATCTCACTTGCTGACCCATGTCGCTTCAAAAGCCCATCTCTCTCATTATTTCAAGCTTCAGGTACGCAGTCATCAGGAGCAACAAGCAGTCGACCTGCTGGACGAATATGACCATTGGTATAAGACCAACAATCTCGGGAGACTGCTTTCGGACCGAATGTCCTCAAAGGAAGCTCGAAGGAAGAAGACATCGACAAAGCCCACGACCCACGCAGAAGTCAAGGTCGAGAAGCCAGACGTCGCGCTGTCTGTTCTCCCCCTGATACATAACCCATTTCCGGACTATATAGACCCTCGCCTCGCTGATACCTACATCGAACAACCGTTGGAACTCCCACACGCTGGATCAACCTCCTCTGCATCCTATGTTACTCGCACAGACCCTTCCGCCCAGACGTGCCAGTCCTACTCGCACACAATGCACGGAAGTGACTCCAGAGACACTGAATACGAGCTTTGGAAACGTGAGCCCAGAGGTGATGTGATTGCGTACGACGATGGCTTTTCTGTTATGCCGTACTGCACAAGTCCAAGAGAGGACAGAATGGTGACCGGCACAAACACAATGAATCGCGGATACAGAAGCGACCCCTTCCTGGATGAAAGTGAGAGCATTGACTGGCCTGTGTCCGACCTTCTGGACAAAGAGCGGGCGGATGAGATGGCTAGACTTAAGGGCATCCTGTGGCCCGGGATGGACATCTTCGACTCTGCTACAGAACAGATGAGGCGTCGACGTAACCAAAAGAAGGATGAGAGCATCTTGAGGATGATGGAAAAGACCTCCCTCTGCGTCGAGCCGACAGAACTTGTCTTCTCTCCAACGGGAATCCTCCGAAAGCAACGGGTGATCTCTGGCAATGTTGAGGATAGTAGCCCGCTCAAGGGTGAAACGCCAATACCCAAAAGACGAGTCAGCCGCCCCAAGAGGGTTCTCTCGCGACTTGACGCTAACATTAACCGTCGGCAACATGGACCGAACAAGAAGAGAAACAAGAAGACCGAAAGGCAGGGTGTCGAGTGTATGGCGGAGCATTCGACCCAGAGTGCTGCGCAAACACGTCAGGGCCAAGTATCGATATATCGGAGGAGTTGCGCAGACGATCAGGCTAAGTCTGTCCATAAGAGAAGGAGCGGGCCCAAGGATCGCAACGAGTTCGCAGTGTACCGTGACGAGGAAGGACAGCACCGGCGAAGCTCGAGGAACCAGCATATCAGTGGTGGATTGTCATATGCAGCATCTGCCGTTTCCCACCCCATTTTTCTTCTGCGCGAATACACAACCCGCACGGACGAGTGTGCGTCCCGCTCCGCTACTCATCTATCTGCATTCACAGAACGTACCGCTGATGAGACCATGGATAAGGAGAACATTGAACCTCTCTTCAATGCCTGCGGCCGCATCGATCCTGCAGTGGGCTGGCGTTCCCCTGCCATGAAGCAACATCTAGCAAATGACATAGGTTACCCGCCACAGCTCTTCTATCAAAATGCTCAATCTGCCGGTTTGAGTCCATTTGGAGGTCATGATAGTCCCGCAGGGTATCACTACAATCCTCTATCAGTCTCGCTGGGCAGACTACCTGTTGAAGAGACTCAGTTGAGTACCCTGAACTCACAGGCGGGAGCAGATTATAAGGCACGGCCTGAGTCCCCTGAAGACACAATCTCAGATGCCGAGGAAGGGGAACTCGAGCGGCTCTACCTGCCTGAAAGCTCTTGTTAATCTTCCACTCTTGCTATGGCTGCCTGCCCGACTGCGTCCTCAAAATGTTGTCGCTGGCTTACTCTCGATGTCGTCAGCACTCAATTTCAGCACCCAAGCACACTTCAACGGGAGAGGATAGGACGAATCTCTGCTATGGGCACATAGCCCACTGCTTTATATGCGAAGTTCTTATAATCATGCATTACCTATATGTCAGTAGAGACAATGTGTCGCTGCCTGGAGGCTGATGTCTGACGTCTTTCATTACTGCGTTGACTGTTCAGGTATCGCATCGCAGACGTATACTGCTATAGTATTAGATATCCATCAACCGAGGTATACTCGAAGACCTACAGGCTATGTAGCTCCAAGTCATTAGAGAAATCCCCATTGCGTGCACCGTCCAGTGCTTGTAGTGGATTACATAAGCCAGAAATATAGGCGATCTTCAACCCGGAGACACGAAAGCGCGTTGACCACGCGTCGAGCTCTCGAAGTTCTGAAGCGGCACTAGCTTCGCCGAAGTGGACTTTTAGTGGCGCTGTTGATACAATACAGTACCCGCATGTGATGATGATTTTCAACTGTGACAAGGAGGCTCACACAAACTCGATACTGCAGAAGGCTGCCAAGTTGTCACAGCTTTTGATTGCGCCGATTTGAGTTCCTTGCCACTTGGTTGCAGCTGATGGTATACAGCGGTTTCTCATCTACCTTCGCTTGAGCTTGTCCAAGCTCTTCAGCAAACCACACACAAAGGCTGCACCCCGCTGACAGACTCTCGAAGAACACGGCAAAAGATGCCTTTACCTTCCTCATCACCTTCCTCTTCCCAGAATACGAAGCGCAAGCAATCGACACTCGCCAGCTTCTTCACCAAGAAGTCACAGCCTCTCCAACCCGGTTCGGTCAACGGCGTCGATAGACAGACGAAGATCGCGGAAACTGGCTCGGAGGAAACGACGGCCTCCGAAAAATTGCGAAACCGCCAGGATGATTTGGCTCGGGACAGGAAGGATGAAGACGATGACGACGATGACATAGTCGCACCGGCTCCAAAACGAAGCAAATTGAACGGCTCCAACTCCCAGGAAAATGGTTCGAAGACAGGCTCCTCCGTTATTGAAGAGCATATACCAGTGTCGCAGAGTAGCCAGCGGACGGATCTTTCTAGATTCGCTAGCTCACCCGCCGCTGGATCTGGGGCCCAGAGACATCAGGAACCGGAGCCCACCGAAGCCAAACAGAGGCAAAAGGAATTGGAGGATTTGCATCAGAAATTTGTGCGCAGGCTGGGCGGCGCAGATTGCTTGATAGGCATCAACAAGCATGCTACTGGTGTGACTGATGTCGTGTCTACTGAGGATGCAGCTGAAGGGGAAGAAGACGAGGATCTGGCGCCCGCCCCCCCACCTCGAGGCAAATCTGCTAGCAAGAAGGGTGCCAGTAAGCTTACGCCAATGGAGAGACAAGTTATTGACATCAAACGCAAACATAAAGATGCGGTTTTGGTAGTGGAGGTTGGTTATAAGTTCCGGTTCTTCGGCGAGGATGCAAGGATCGCAGCCAAGGAGTTGTCGATTGTCTGTATCCCAGGAAAGCTGCGCTTTGATGAGCGTGAGTGTACCACGTCCCTCGCGACCGCAGACACCGCTAATGCTTGAGCTCTTTTTTTGCCTTTCAGATCCTTCAGAGGCACACCTCGATCGATTTGCATCTGCCAGCATACCGGTCCATCGACTACATGTGCATGTCAAACGCTTGGTCGCTGCCGGACATAAGGTTGGCATCGTCAGACAGATCGAAACGGCTGCGCTGAAAGCGGCGGGTGACAACCGAAACGCGCCATTTGAACGCAGACTCACAAGTTTGTACACGAAAGGCACATATATCGACGACGTTGACGGTCTGGAAGGGCCTGCGGCATCTGGCAGCGCGTCCCCAGCAACAGGATACTTGCTTTGCATCACTGAGACGAATGCGAAGGGATGGGGCAATGACGAGAAGGTCCAGGTCGGCATTGTCGCTGTGCAGCCTGCCACAGGGGACATAATCTATGATGATTTCGAAGATGGTTTTATGAGGACCGAAATCGAAACCAGGTTGCTTCATATTGCGCCTTGTGAAGTGTTGATTGTGGGAGAACTTTCCAGAGCTACGGAGAAGCTGGTTAAGCATCTCTCGGGCAGCAAGTTGAATGTATTCGGTGATAAGACTCGTGTGGAGCGGGCTTCCAAGTCGAAAACAGCCGCCGCCGAGTCCCACAGTCATGTTTCGAGTTTTTATGCTGGAAAGATGAAGGCAGCTAGTGCTGAAGACGATGTGCAGGCGAGTAGCCTTCTTCAGAAGGTGGTAAATTTACCTGAGCAGATAACCATCTGCCTCTCCGCCATGATAACACATCTGCAAGAGTACGGCTTGGAGTATGTGTTCCAGTTGACCAAATATTTCCAGCATTTCTCTTCGCGATCACATATGCTTCTTAATGGAAATACCCTTATGAGTCTCGAGGTTTACCAAAACCAGACCGACCACACTACTAAAGGCAGTCTCTTCTGGACTCTTGATCGCACACAGACTCGTTTTGGGCAAAGACTGCTTCGGAAGTGGGTCGGACGCCCTTTGCTGGATAAGACGGCTCTTGAAGCGAGGGTCAATGCTGTTGAAGAGCTGCAAAGCCCGGAAAAAACTATCATGGTCGAGCGACTTAAAAGCTTGTTTGCCAAGATCAAGAGTGACTTGGAGAAGAGCCTCATTAGGATTTACTATGGGAAGGTGAGTTTTCTTCTCGTACCCAGGTGATATAGTGTTTGTGTATAGATGCTAAGATCCTGATCGCAGTGCACTCGGCCCGAGCTCCTTACTGTGCTCCAAACCATGCAAATGATTGCGCAGGAGTTCGCGGATATCAGGA